GTATCTTTTATATATTTATTTTTGTTGTTACAGTTATATTTATTATAACTATTTTACATTTACAAAATAAATTATCATTTAAAGTATCCTGTTTAGTTTCATTTTGCCCATGGGAATTAATACAATTTATTGTATTGCTTTTGTTTCATAATAAGAAGCTATGAATCAAATTATGAAATAACTCTTACATGTGTGGCATCCAAAATAGTGAAATAGAACAAATAAACATAGTTGATCATTCATTATCTAAGCAAATTTATTCTTTTTCATATATTCGCATTTTTATCTTCATAGAATCATTTGTTAATAAACACAATAGATTTAAAATGTCGATGTGAAAATATTTACCTAATTGAAATATATGTATTTCAAAAACAGCTAATGTAAATTAGCATTTAGATTCATCAGAAACCTGGACCTCATTTTTTGTCCCACTCTTAAGTAAAAACAAGCTATTCAAACTTCATTTGATTCAATACTTATATCACCATGTGGATACAATATATTCCCCCCGCAAAATTTACTCTAAACATATTTTAGCAGTCTTGCTCCCTTTCTCCCCTTTCTACCCTGAAATCCGTACTATACTTATCTAGCCTTCTGTTTTTACCAAACTTTTGTTCTTTTTATGCTTTGGATCTATAGTATTTTGTCATGCTGCTAGGTTAAACATTATGAGAAATGAATAGCGAAAATTACATTTCTAAATCTATATTTAAGTGTGTGACCTGGTTTTCCTAAATCCAACTAAGTATATGATTTGGTTTTCCAAAACAGGGACCATTCTGTAGCTCCAAAGATGTTAATGATTGTTGCTATGTCATCAAGTACATTTCATAGATTTCATAGACATTAGGGGCTGGAAGGGACCTTGCAAGATCATCGAGTCCAGCCCCCTTGCCATAGGCAAGAAGTCTGCTGGGGTCCCAGCAAGATAAGCATCCAAATTTAAAACAAGCTAATTGTTTAGTGACCTACTTGGAGACCTACAACACTTTCACACCGGAATAAAATAACTTTACTCCATAGTAAAAATGAGGCATACACATGATGCACTGAGTTAGCAAGCGAGGAATTGGCTATATAGGAGTTTTATGTCCCCTTGTTTGCTCCCCTGCTCAGTTTCACTTTTGGGATAGCCCTTTTGTGCAATGCAAACTGACTCCTCTGCCACCTAGTTGCGAAATGTGCTAGCACCTACTTCCGATAGCTTGAAAAAGCTGGTTTTGTTACTTGCTAAAGTCCAGGGTAAATTACTTTGTACTAATCTTGCAGTATGTCTGTCCTAAACAGAAGCACTTAATTTTGCAAATCTTGGTCCTCGTTATTGCAAGTGCACAATCAGGGGTACATACTCTTTGTGAAGTCTTACTTAATCTTATGTATAACTTGATGTTTTCTTTTCATTGGAAGAAAAATCCTAGTATGACCATTTCATTTGTGTTTGTTACAACAAAAAATGAAATAAAGTATAATTTTTAAAACATTATTTTTAAAATGTTTATTGCCATTAAGCCCTCTTTGAATCTGAAGGTTTTTTTTGTTGGCAGAATAGGTATAGTACAACCAGTACTCCAGTCTGCTCTATTAGACCTGTTCTGTGGAATAGAAGAGAACTTCATTTGTGCTTCAGGGGGACCAATTAAGTGTTTTGTTTAGTCTCCATATCTGCTGCTTTGCATCTCTTGAGACTACCATTAGAGACCTTAATTAAAGCATCCTGAGATGGACAACTGTCCATAAGGAACTGAACTGAAACCATCAAATCAAGTAATAAGTTAATTTTTGAGAATTGTCTGACAAATCTATATCTGTGAACAATCCTTATTTAGGTATACATATATTTGCTATAGCTCTAAGGTGAAACAAGGATCTGTATTACATTCTTAACTGAGTTATTTGATGATCTTTAGCTTCTCCATTTAGAAATATTTTCAAGGATTTTCCATATTTTAACTACATACAATCCAAGGCTTTGGATGATGTAAGTATGGAATCTTATTTAATTTTATTAGCAAGTAGTACATAAAGCATTTCAATTAAGCATTTGTCATTTGTAAGTAATACACAGAAGTGACAAGTGAGGTACACTATCTAAGGACTATAACTTTCAGGGACAAATGAGGAAAATAGTAATGGCATTTATCTAGAGAATGGTTCAGGGTGAAATAAGCACTTTTACACATTTGAGTGTACTTATGTAAATAAATATTTATGTTAATTGTGATTTAGAAAACACTTTCACTTGTGGTTTAAAATAAAAAGCTTTCCCACAGCAAGTGTAAGAATCAAATTTTGGCAAATGAATAACATGGTTACATTACTGGAAAGTCCAGCCTTTTTTGGAAAAGGCTTTTTTACCCTTTATTTTTCCCTCAATATATTCCCATTCTTTTATTCTTCAGAATTCAAATCTCCATTTTGAAGCAACAGTCCTTCTGTTTGCGGAATACTATTTGGTATTCCTGGAGGCTAGAGCAAGTATAGGTGTCTGTATTAGAGATAGCAGACCCTGATTCAGCATAGCATTTAAGTCCTGTCCTTTAAACTGAATTGGAGTCTTAGGAAATTCTGTTTTGGCCTCATGGCCATTAAATAACATTTTCCACAGAGAAACTGAGTGTTTGGGAAAATTAAACAGTTACAGCCCAACTTGTATGTCTTTAAAATCCCTCCATATATGGATGAATAAATATCATATGTTTGTGATGCTTCCTCTCTTTTTGTTCTCTTTTCTATCTTTGTACATTTATTTTCTGCATACCAGTCCACTACTTCAGTAAGGAACCTATATTGATTAATTCTAAGTCTATTTAATTTATATATGAAAAGTAATCTTTTACATTGATTTTCATGAAAGAATGAAAACAATCTTGCTTGTAGCTATAACCTATCATTATTTTACAAACAGAACTGTGATTTAAGGCATTGGGATTTTATATAACACCCATTAATCTTCAAGTGGTTCACAAGGTACCTAAAATGATTCAGTTACAAAATAAAGTTGCTGAAAACTTAGAATACTGCTTATGATTTTATTACCACTAGTAGTATCTGTGGATACATAAATTACAAAAAGGCAACTACTGGAATGTCTTTGAAGTTTTTGTTACAGAACAGTTAATACATCTTTATAATGAGCCTGTCTTTAATAGTAGTTGGATATTGACAATGGTTCATCTGTCATCTAAGACTAGAGACTAGCATTTTTGCATAAATCTGTCATCTAAGACTAGAGACTGGCATTTTTGCGTTTATGACGACAATGTAGACATCACTGTGCAATCACTCTAGATGTACAGTACCTCTTTTATAAATGCTTCTGTGGCAGCTGGGCATAGGGAAATGCATTCTTTCTTGATTGCTCTTTTAAAGTTCATATCTAATACAAAGTATCTAGTTTTTAGAAAATTCATACCGTCATACCAGCTGTCATTCACTGTTGCATATATCATTTTAATAATAATCCCTTTTGTGCATTTCTCCTTGAATAGTTCTGTCAGAATGCATGAATAGGTATATTTAAATATCTTTTTTTTTTGTAATTCTTTCCTAGCTTCTTTACACAGATAGGAATTTTGTGATTTGTGCTCCAACTGGCTCTGGAAAAACTGTAATGTTTGAACTAGCTATTACCAGGCTACTAATGGAAGTGCCAATGCCTTGGTTAAATATTAAAATTGTATATAGTAAGTATTAGACTAAGTTTACATAATTCAGTTTTAGTGGCAATGATAGAAAATTATTTTGTCCTTTGCATTTTGTTGCACACATTTATTGGCTTCTTTTAATAAGCTTGAAGTCAAATGCATAAAGACAACATTTACTTTGTAAGACTCTTTCAGGATTTATCACTGTTTATTGTATTGCCATAATAGTTATTACAGTTAATGCCTGTTAGTAGAAACATGAAGGCACCTCAGTGCTATGTTGTTCCTACTGGCTGTTCGTATTGTAGGCAGTCTTCTCTGAATACAAAGGACAGAATTTGTTCCCCAGAATGTTGCTTGTAAGAGGCTATTGGTCTTACCAGTTATTGCTGTGAATGAGTGTCACTCGTACTGTTGTTTAAAACTTACATTGCATAACTGAGATTGAGGCCCCGTTATACTAGGTTCTATCTGTACACAAATAGACAGTCCCTGCTACAAAGACATTCAATAGTCAAAGGAGACATACCTCAAAATGTAGAGTTTGTAAATTTTAATTACTAATAAAATAAAACATAATTGGTGTAACAGAGGGCAGTCACATACATATTGTTGTCATCTTGGGGTTTTCGTTTCTGGACAATGGAATTAATATCCTCATGCATATCAAGTGAAATGGGTGATTTCATGCTAGTTTTAATGTGTCCATATTTTGATACCACTATAAAGCTTGACATAATTGAATATATTTGTCTTTCTTACACATGGTTGGCCTTTGTTTTACAAAAGTTACTATCTAAGTTAGTTTAGATATGAAATCTATGTATTGTAAACAAATAAAACCTGTCAGATATTTGTACTATAATTCCTCTCAGCAGATGGGAAACAAGCACTTGAATTTATGGTTATGACTTCTTGCATTGTTAAAGGGACTTTGTCAGAATTGACACAAAGTGACCTGAAGCTTGTGAAAGTCTACCAATCAAGAAGTGTACTTTTTCTGTGTTTTCTTGTGATTGTGGGAGAAAGTTATTGCCCAGTCCTATCATCTGTAGGTTCCTATGGGAACCAGAAACAACTGAAGATTATATGAGGGCACAAAGAATATTCATAGAGGGAGATGTCTGACAGAGGAATGTTCAAGTATTCAGATTCCATCTGCTGAATGGGGAATGGAGAAACTATGGCCTACAGGTCAAAATTGTTTTTTGCTTTAATGAGCAAAGCTGAAATCTGAAGAATTAAGTTAAAAAAACTTTGAAGCAGCTGCCTTATTTAGCATTTTAAACAATACAACTGAAGAGTAACAAAAAAAGTCCTTTGCTTTTCTCAGTTTTGTTTTGTTTTTAGTGGCACCCATAAAAGCTCTGTGCAGTCAGCGATTTGATGATTGGAAAGAGAAATTTGGACCTATTGGGCTTAGCTGTAAGGAACTGACAGGAGATACAGTCGTGGATGATTTATTTGAAATACAACATGCTCATATTATTATGACCACGCCAGTAGGTTCCATATGCAACTTGCTTTTCCTTCTGTTTTTGTTTTGTTTTGTTTTGTTTTTTAATTTTGAAAGTTAAAATTAAAACTACTAGCTTTTTGTATGTTGCCTTAGACTTTGTTTTGTGACAGTCAGTAACTCAGAAACACTTTAAGGTCTGTTTATTGACTTATATACTAATAGTGTCATATGTAAACAATAATTAATAATAAAATGCTACATGAAATTTGTTGCATTAGCTCAGAAGAACTTTACTGATTTTATGAAAAGATTTTGGTCACATTAAGGGTCTGTCTGCACCACTGCTTTGGGCATCTGTTGCCTTAAAATATCTTTCAGCTGTTTATAATTTTTTTTCCTCTAGGAAAAATGGGATAGTATGACTAGAAAATGGAGAGACAACTCTTTAGTCCAGCTGGTACGATTGTTCCTCATTGATGAGGTAAAAAAAAAAAAAAAAGATTTTTATTACTTGTTTTTTTCCTTGAAGATAAAAGGAAACCTTTTAGAAAGTAGAACAGAATGTCAGACATTTATTTTAATATATTTATAGATAAATGGAAGAAACAGGTGATCTTATTCTACAATGTTTTTAATAGGTACATGTTGTGAAAGATGAAAGCCGGGGTGCAACACTCGAGGTGGTAGTCAGTCGGATGAAAACGGTACAATCTTCCTTTTCACGTAGCTCAGAGAATCCCAACACAGTTCCTTCCATGAGATTTGTGGCTGTTTCTGCAACAATCCCGAATGCTGAAGATGTAAGAATAAATCTTTAATTACATTCTTTAAAAAATATGATTTAAGTAGTCGTTGCTCATTTGAGGTCAGTTGTAGAGGCAGAAATTTAAGTAATAGTATGGATCCCACTGTAGTTGCTCATGTGCTTTATGCATGTGAAACAAGATTCTTTTGGCTGGCTGTCTCTTTCTAGGATGTATATGCACTGAGTAATCCATTTCTATAATGTTAACTCCTGCATAGCCTTCCTATCTTCCTGCAAATAGCCTGGATAATGGCTGGAGGAAAAACACTAACAGAAAAGTCTTTTCGACAAGTTCAAAAGCTCATTGTTAAAAACAGGAATGCTTTGACCAGAAGATCTTCTATACATAATGGAAAAGATTTTGCCTTATGGGCAGCTGAAAACAACACGAATTTGGTGGAGACTCTGACTCCAACTATTCTAGACTGTATTTTACTCCTGCAACAGGTGGGATTGGCACTTAATCTTGGAGTCCACCTGGCAGGAATATCACTATATTATATTCCAGTCAGATTTTAGTTTTCTCATTCCCTATACTGTCAAAATTAATCAGAGGTCATTGTCACACCTAGTTCTCTGTCATTAATTTCTCTCTCACCTAGGACCCTAATGTGGTCTTCCTGCAACTCATGGAGCCTCCTTTCAGTTCTCTGTCAGAATGTTCTTTATACAAGCATTTCTCAACCCGAGGGTTCTGACCCAAAAGTGGGTCACAAGACTATATGAAAAGGTTGCAAACAAACTTTAAATAATGGATCAACAAACTTTAAAAATGGATTCTCTTTTACAGGAGAAAAGTGTGGGAAACAGTGGGTTTCCCCTTGCAGGCTGGCAGAGTCCTAGCCTGCAAGGGTCTGCTTGGAGTTGGGGGGAGCGGGAGGAGGGCAATCAGGCAGGGGGCACCATGTGTACGTGCATGCACACACATGCAAGTGGCAGCCTGGCAGCATGAAGAGCAGCTCCCCTCAGGAAAGTTTATTGAGGGGGCGGACATAGACAATGTGTCAGGGGGTGTGGGGCACAGGTAATAGTGCCTACCACCCCACCTCCTCACCAGAGTAGAGCCGTGGCCTGAGGGGAGCGGCAAGTAGGCCATGATGGTGGGGAAGAGCCGCAGCCTGGTGCACAAGCGGCTGGCAGCAGAAGGTGAGGGCAGCATGGTCCCTTTCCTCCCTGCCTGCATCTGTTGCTACTGACACTGCTGACAGCATGGCTGGCACAGGGCTTCTGGTGACAGTGGTAGCAATGAGTCTTTGCTCCCTGCTCTGCTCTCCCACGCTGAAGTCTTCGCGCTGGGCTGTGAAGGCAGCTCCTGCCTGTCCAGCCAGGCTGCAGCCCTGTGCCCACTGTGGGTGCATAAATCTGGGGGGGGGGCACATGCCCCACACTCACCCCTTCCTTGCATATCCACTCTCTTCCTTGTATGCTAGGGGGCTGGGGGCAGCAGGCCAAAAATGAGAGGCACCAGCAGGGCTAGAGAGGTCGGGGGGGGCTGTGGGTTGGGAATGAGGTGCATTGGCAGGGCTGGAGGGGATGTTTTCTACTTAAACTATTTACTGGGGTGGGACTGGCCATCAGTGTTTACAAATGGGTCCTGGTACAACAAAATTTGAGAACCACTGCTTTATACCACTTTACTATCAAGAGGTCTTTCTAGTTGCCATTGTGAGCGGGATGGGCAATCTTATTCTTGACTCTCCTTTATACTTGTCTGCCACGACTTGGATGAATAGGAAAAAGAAAGGAGGTTAAGGTCTTAGTTATTCTTGGACAAAATAATACCACTTTGATGTTAAGTGTAAGTTTTATTGTAAGGGTTAACAATGCAAAAATGACTGTGTTCTTGCCAGTTGCTTCATTGGCGAAGTAGTTAGTGTTTCAATCAGAACCTCCTTGAATTAGTTACTTCATATGTGCAGGGTAGAAACTTTTCACCACCAATTACCTCATTAGTGGTACACACCCTCCGCTTCACTCATTCTGTGCGTGTGTGTGGTCTAGGGGCAGTCTCTGGCCATTCTCTCTCTCCCAAACATACTTCCTGCTCCTGGTTTCCACGCTCCCACCGGGAGCCAGTCTTGGGGTCAACCCCTGTCCCCTTTTCTCTCGGTGGGGGCACGATCTCTCCTCCTGAGCTTTCCTGGGGAAATAGTTGCTCGGTGCTTCAGGCTTCCGCCCTAGCACTCACCGACTCCATGGGTATCGCTGGCAAGGCAAGCCCTTTTTGCCGCACCTCTCAGGAGTCCGCTGCCCGGTGTTTCAGGCTCGCCCTGCACTCACCGGCACCACAGGAGCCACTGGCAGTACAAGCCTCTTTGCTGCTGTCCTGTTGCGTCTCAGGGATTCGCCATCTGGCATCACAGGTGCTCCTGCCCCTGTCGATTCAGTTGGGTTCCTGGTAAGGTAAACCTTGTTGGCACTGACCTGCCGTGCACTTCGGGAGTCTCACCCTCCTCGGAGTTTTCTTCCTCTCCACAGTTAAGTCTCCTTTGCCTTTTCTCCAGAGTGCCGCCACTCCTTGCTCCTTCTCCTGGTGCCCGAAGGCAAAAGTCTTTTCCCCGCTGCCATTTTTATGCTTCGTATGGCAGGCTAATCACCTGCTTTTTTTCCAGGTGTGCAATCCCTTCCACCTGGCAGGGTTCATCGTTGGGTCAATCTGGCCCGACCTTGTCTAAGTAACAGGGCTCTTGCCCGAGTCTTTGTTACAGCCATCACTTTAACTCAGCGTTGATAAGATCTAAGCCCCTATGGAAGAACTTAGACCATAAGCCCTATAATGCAACTGTAACCATTATATCACAAGTACAAAGTGATAAAACTGCATCTTAAATTCATTCCCAAAATGCTCTCAGAATTCTGAATCAATCAGTCACTTCAAAAATCTTTCTGAAACCATGCTCCTCATTGAGAAAAAAGAAGTGATAGACTTTAGACATCTGCCAAGCCCTACTTTACTACTTAGCTCAAATAAAGCACTTCAGATACCCTTCTGATATTTTTGTGGCCTATTCAGTGTACTGAGAAGTCAATATTCTCATCCCAAAGACTTAAATGGGTGTGATCCACCAGTTATCAGCTGGCTAGCAAGCCCTACTTGTACTTTGCAATTAAAACAAGAGCAGGCAAAATATTGCTTACGGACCAGATTTGGCCCATGGAGGAACTTTGTCTGGCCTATGGTAGGTCCCGTTTGGCCCAGGCGCCATCCAACCCATGGTGTGTCCTGCTGCCCTGGGCGTACAGCAGGGCTGGGGCAGCTCTGCGGCTGGATTCCAGCCTTAGCTCCATGAGGACTGGCAGGGACCCATGTGCACAGCCATGGCCTTGGCCCACCCTGCACCTACTCTGTACCTGCCCCAACTGAAGCGAGCCAACCAGGACCAGTGTGCACAGCCCCAACTGTGGCCCAATCCATGCCTACTCTAAGCCCACCTGCCTAAGATAAGTGGTGGTAGCAGGGAAGAAGCTGCTACTGGGTGCTGGGGAAAAGCGGCTGCCTCCCCCTCGCCGCTGCTGGGCCCTTCTTGCTGCAGCTGGTTGGACCCTGCCCCTGGGCTGCCCTGCAGCTCCTCTGCCACCACTACCAGCACTACCTCTGGGCTCCCCAGCAGGGCAGTGGTGGCAGTGGAGGGGAGCCACAGAGCAGCCTGGGTGCGGGCTCTGGGCAGCTGCAGCACGAATGGCCTGGCAGCAGCAAGGAGGAGGTGGCCATTTTTCTCCCATGCCCAGCAGCAGTTTCTGACCGGCTGTCGCTGCTGCTCATTACGGGCAGGCCAGTCTAGAGCAGGAACAGGGTGGGCCAGGGTCAGGGCTGCGTGTCTGGGTCCAGCTGGTCCACTTTGGCTGGGGCAGGACCAGAGCAGGTATGGGCGGATCGGGGCTGGGGCTGGGGCTGTGCATGCAGGTCCCCACCACTCCCCATGAGACTGAGGCCTTACACAGCAGGGATCTGTGCTCAACTGCTGCCATGCACTGGTGGCAGTGAGGAGTCACAGGGTGCAGGTGCTCCAGGCTGTTGCCAGGATGGTGGGGAGAGAAGGGTACTGACCAGCCTACGACAGCTCCCCAAAACTGCCTATGTGGCCCATGGGCCCAAATAATTGCCTGCTTCTGGTTTAAAGCATAAGTAACATCCTGCTTCAGCAATGTCTTTGCAGCTTGCAAGGCAGCCAGAAGAAGTAACCAGCTGATACGGTAGATGTCATGAACTGGATGTGGCAATCCACATATTCCAGTTTGGAAGGGAAGTGTCTGTTCGATCAATAATGATTCCTCAATTTTACTGTATTGGGAGTAGATGCTGATAGGTAGTCCTTTATAGTGGAGTCCTCCCTGACATGCTCAAAGAATAAAATGGTTACCCTATCCTACAGTAACTCTGGTTCTTGGAAATGGATCTGCTCTTGATGCCCTCATTCAGGAGCATGTGGAGTTTCAGGGTACATGTGCATTTTTGTTGGAAGCTGTTAGGTCTTATGCATATGAGGTGTATATACACCTATGATATGATTTGCAGTAACCACAGTATCTCCAAGAATCTCAGTTACTGTAATATAAGTAAAACAGCTTCTTTGGTTTCTTCAGTTCATTGAAGTATCCTGAAAGCTTGGATAAATAAAAGTCAAAAGAAGTTGCAAATTCTACTTTAAGTGAGTTCTTACATAAAGCTGTCATTTCTGAACTGTTGGCTGATGGTTACTATCTTGATGAAAACAAATATAATTTATGATACAGCCATACAGAAGTTTTAGTCTAAAATTAACAATATACTACAGTTCTGTATTTTTATCAGTGTATTTGGTTGTAAGCACAAGTCTTAATAGGTTGCGGACAGATTTTGATCTTAATTATACCTGTCCTATTTAAAACTGAATTTGGCTTTTTAATTACAAAATGGGCGTGTCTACATGTGTCTCTTTGGTGCCTTTGTTACTGTGCCATCATTTAGTACTTTCAAAAGGAAGTACTAAATGATGGCACAGTAACTGGCGGTACTGCGCGCTGCATGCCATGCAGTTATTTTTAGTTGCTATGCCACCATAGCAATGCACTATAATGAGGGAGTATGTTGCTATGGTGATATAGCTGTGGTGTCACAGTTTGTGACTGCTGATGCTATGGCGCCGTAGCGTGTTGCTACAGTGACATAGCGTCACATGTAGATGCTCCCAAAATGTATGTTAAAATGTTAATACTTTTGAAATGGCAAGAAGAATTTAACCAGTTCATTATTATCTATATATTGTTAGAGCACAGCATACTTAATGGCAGAGCTATCATTTTCAAGCATTGTTTTAACATACTTTCTTGTTCTTCAAAGATTGCAGAATGGCTGACAGATGGTAAGAAGCCTGCTGTATGTTTGAAAATAGATGAGAATTACCGACCAGTGAAGCTTCGCAAAGTTGTTCTTGGATTTCCCTGCAGTGGCAACCAAACAGAATTTAAATTTGACTTAACTCTTAACTACAAAATAGCAAGTGTTATACAAACATACTCTGAACAAAAACCAGCACTTGTGGTATGTTTTTCTCTTACTGGTTTTAAACATGTTTATTTCGCAGTACAATTAATTAAAAAAGTATTCTTTTATTTATAGTTTTGTGCCACAAGGAAAGGAGTACAGCAAGCTGCTTCTGTTCTTGCAAAAGATGCTAAATTCATAATGACTACAGAACAGAAACAAAGGTATTTTAAATATTTGTTCTAAGTTAGTAATAGGTGTCTGATATTCTAGCCAATCTTATTACTTATGAAATGAAAGTTGATGGGATTAGTACAGCTACTGGTAGAGAGTTGTTTGTCATAAAATAATTATCACAAAAAGGATTCTTGAGAAATGTTACTAGGGGCTATGGACTATGGCTATAGAGTCCTTTGCTAGGACAGTTGATTCTTCCAGTAGTGGTGGAGATAATCCACTTGCAGCAAATCCAACCTTTGCTTGTTTCTTCTAAATAAAGGAAATTATTCTGCAGTAATATATTTTGGGTACCTTTCATTAACATTAAATTCATTAAATTTTTTCACTACAAAAATTTGCACATGTGATAGTCCTATGTCATATGTGGTCCTGTTGGACTGTTTACACCAAGTCGCATTAAACACATACTTAAGTTTTGCAGGATCAAGTCTCTCAGTAAACACTGCCCAGATTTTTGTTTATGATTACTTACTTCATCAGGGAGTTATATCAAAGTATTCTCTATGCCAGGGGTAGGCATCCCCTGGCATAATGCCAAAGTCTGGCATATGAAGGCATTTTGCTTGGCACTCACACTTTGGGAAGGGACCAGGGCTGGGCTGCCACAACAAGGATTGGACCCCTCACAGCTCCCCTGCTATCCGACCCTGGCACTCCAACATCTTAAAGGCAAGGTTGCAGGTATTTTTGTCACCCTGCCCATAAACATTGCCCACCCCTACTCTTTGCTACTATTGGGGATACATTTTCAATTTAATATATAATTTGTTTTTACCAATAAGAACATTAATTTGTCTAATTGAATCCAAAATGTTTTCAAAGGTTCAGTTCAGGACATCGTATCTAGATATAGGTGTTTAATTCCTATTTACATCAATGAAAGCTAAGTACATGATTAAATGTTTTCCTGAACTGGGATGGACATATGCGCATACTTATATGTTTTATTGAACCAGGGCCTTTGTGTTTACTTCAATATTAACATTAAAGTTTATAAGCCATTCTTAAACAGTTTTAAAACAACTTGAGTTAATCCATAATTTTTGGTATTAATAATTAAATGCATTTCTGTCTTCTACATTTCAAATATTATACCACACAGTTGTAGTCCTCATTTCTTCTTCTAGACCACTCTTCATTAATAACAAGCAGACAAAACTCTCATTGAAGTAAGAGTTCTTTGAAGGCATGAATAGGACTTGGGGAAGTACAGGATAATGTCCATAGATACTTTCTTCTATTAGTTCAAATTTTCCACATCCTTTTTATGTGATAAAAATATTAAGATTTACAAACAGGCTTTTCTTAAAGAAGATATTGTGTATATTGTGCAAAAATAGATCCAAATCTACAATACTTATTCAAAGCCAGATGCTCCTCTTCACTTTCAGTGATAGTGGAGAGAAACTTTCACAAATGAATGGGGGAGCAATGGGAGTTCTGAACTTCTGTTCCTGAACTTCTGTACACTTCTTTGTAGAGGCGCTGTAAAAATTTAGGACTGGTGTTCAGGAGGTAGTCTGATATGATGGAGCTGGTGAGCAGTTACATATTGAATTCAAGTTTTACTGACTTAATGCACAGAAGTCCAGAGCATGTCAGTGGTGCCTTTACAAAATATATTTTTATCTTTACATATTATTTGTAAATGAGGAAGTCTGATATGTAAATTGTGTGATTTTAAAAATATTAATAATTTTTATCTCTCCCTTGTACAGATTACAACGGTCTGCAAATTCAATAAAAGATTCCAAACTAAGAGGTAAATTGTCATTTTACCGTTTTAAGCCACAGGACTTAACATTTGCTTGAGTAAATTTGTGAAGATAATTCATAGTATTTCATTTTCAGATCTCTTAATATATGGTGTGGCTTATCATCATGCTGGTATGGAGTTATCTGATAGAAAAATAATTGAAGGAGCATTTACTATGGGAGACTTGCCTGTACTTTGTAAGTAAATTTAAACTCTGAAAGTCAAAATATTGTTCCTATGTTTGTTTCTTTTCGTATAAGATGAAACGATTTACATTTGATAAAAGTAAATATGATTCAAACATTAATATTTACTTTTAGGTTAGTCTGTGAAAACAAGCCTTTGTATGAACAATCCATTTGCTTCGATAAGTAATTAGCACAATTTGAATGCTGTCACGATGTTAGTAGTAGTAAAACTCCCGTATATCTGCATGATTGGGCTTGTAATTTGTGGTTGAATCCTGAATTTGCAATGCACATATAACTATCATTAACTTCAGTTTTCGTTTTCCCTTCTGAAGAAATAAGTTCATAAGAGTAGCCTACGTATATGACAAAATATGATAATAATGTGCATGGTGCTTTACAGGCAAATAAAAAAAATAGTCCTTAAAAGATATTGCTATTGCACAAAAAGAGAAACTCATGGCTGTATTCAGACAGTGACTGGATTTGAATGAATAGCAATTACTGATTCAGTTTTGGTATCCAGGGAATGGTATACAAAGAATTTTATCTGTAAATAGCAGAAATATTTAAATACAAATGTGTTGGATGAATTTAGGTTTTAAAATAGCATTTGACAGTACTTGATATATTGATGATCAGATACAGTGAAAAACTGTATATTGGGGTGCTGGGGCTAGACTGGGGCAGTGCTGGGCCTGATTCAGGTGCCAATCCTGCAAGGTATCTGGCCTGTGGACTGGCCCTGTATCCCTCATCTAGCCTACCAGGCTGAAAGTTTGAGCATCTCTAGTGTGTTTGTGCATAAATACATATAAAGACTGTGGGGCCCATTTATGAGGCACCAAGTACCTTAATTCCCATTGCCTTTATTAAAAGCTGGTCATTCTTGCCACCTCATACTGAGCCATTTATTTACTGCTCTGTATAAAGTCTTGCTACTATACAGAAATGTTGATACTGTTCATCATGAAATTAATTTTTAATCTGATACAGTTACTACTAGTACCTTAGCTATGGGAGTAAATTTACCTGCACATCTGGTTGTTATAAAATCCACAATGCATTATGTTGGAGGAATGTTTCAAGAATATAGTGAAACTGATATTCTGCAAATGATTGGGAGAGCAGGAAGACCACAAGTAAGTTAACTGTGTTTTGTATACATGTTCTCTAAAGATGACTTTGTAAAACCATATAGAGGAAGAGGTAAATGTACCCCCAATTTTAGAGTAGCATTTGCTTCTTAAAGTTTTGTAATTTGTACCTAAATTATTTTTGAGTTTAAAGAAATATTCAGGAAATGAGTCTGGCTCTCAGTAGATTGTTCAGTGAAGATGTCTCCTCAGTCTTTGTGGTAAAAAAAATAATCAAGGTGCTAAACTGCATAAGAAATAGGATAGTGGAGGATATTATAATGTCTTCATAGAAATTGGTGGTGCAGTCTTGTGTGCATGCAATAATGGCATTCCCATCTTAAGAAGAATGCTGAAGAGCTAGAAAGGGTTGAGAGGTGGGTCAGAAATAATCCAGGGCATGGAATAGTCAAGTAAAGAGATTGAAAAGATTAGGTTTGCCCCTCTCAAATAGGAGAGAGGACACAAAAGAAGTTTGTAGAATATTGAATGTTATAGAACCAGTGCCCCAGATTATTCCACATCTGTCTTCTGCAAAGGTTTCAGGAACTTCCTCTGAAGCACCTAGTTCTGGCCACTATTGGAGACAGATAAAATGACTAGAGGGGGCTTGCATTTGAACGAGTATAGGAATTCATATGCTATTAATTTTGTCCATTAGAAAAAAACTACACAAGCTTACTTTACTACTAAAAGTTCTGATTTGGTAAAGTAAACTTTGAGCATGTGCTTAAGTTATATTGACTGTACTGTATTGTATTGACCCTATTATTCTCTGATGTATGTATACTTTATAATTAATAATTTAGGATCATGAGCCAACTGCTAACAACTTTTTAATAAATCAAAGTGCAAATGACTTTGTCAGGGCTTGCCTTTCAGTTATTGAAGCATTTGCATTTCTCAGTAGATTAAATGTACCTTTTTAAAATTCATTTCATTTGTCTCAAGATGTGGGGTGTGTGTGCATGCATGTATGTGTGTATGGAACAGTCCATATATATAGTAAGGATTCCCAGCTAAATCTTAGAGAATGTATGTTTTTTTCAGTTTGACACAACTGCTGCAGCTGTTATTATGACTCGCTTAAGTACAAGAGAGAAGTATGTACAGATGTTAAATGGTGCAGATACAATAGAGAGCAGGTAACCAAATAATTTGCCAGAAGGATGCTATGTGAAAAATAGAAATGTTACATAGACCCAGCAGCATATATTTTCTTGTTCTTTTTGGTTTATTCAGAAGAAATTCATTTCAGTGAACATAAAAGATAGGCCTGTGGGGAAATCATATAGAGCTACACAAAGATGGAAATTTCAATTTTATCTATTCAGCACCTCAGAGAACGCTAATAAATAAGAAAACCAACTATTTATCTAGCACCTTTTACAGCAATACAATCCTATTTTTGTGTTAATTATATTTTTAAAATAATTACACTTTTAATTGAAAAGAAACTGCAACAAGAAAAAAGAGAAACATTTTACAAATAGAGTTCTTCAACCTAGCAGTAAGGTGGAGATAGAGACTCACTGGGTGCTGGAGTTGCAGAGTTACCAGTTATCAAATTGTGCTTTGCCCTGTCTCTTGATGTGATAGAGGTAGATTCAGAATAGCAGTTCTGATGATGACAGACTAGAAGGAGATGGCAGCTTAGATGAGGCTGAAGCTGGGAATGAGATAAATGCTGGGAAAGGGAAGACGACATGGTCTGGGTTCTGAAGCTTTAGCAGATCACGGAAGCTGAGGTTAAGGAGTTTAGATACCACAAGTGGCACTCTTGCTAATAAAGTCTGAGTGGATGGGGTAGTGATATGTGATATTCAATAAGACCCTATCCCTGCCTATTTATTTATGTATTCTAATTCACATAATCCATATAAATAACTCATTCATATAACTATTCATATGCATTCATATAAATAACTACTGAATTTGCGATCTATCTAATAAATTAAAACACCATATAAGAACAACTCCAAATATTTATCAAACACTCACTTATCTGTCCTTTGCCTATTCAGCAGTCCAAGAAAAAAAGCTGGGCTTTATAGCACTCTTATGAGTTTAACATCAATGCTGCTGCTCAGAAGTGGATCCAGGATTTTACAGATGTGGGAGCAGTGACCAATCCTGTAGGGGTGGCTATATCTCCCCCTGTTCCCTGCCTCCTCCCTTTCTCTCTGCATGGAGGCAGGCAGACTGTGCCATGGGAGCAGCAACCGGGCACTTCTTTAAATCCCCAAAGCATGCAAGAATTCCTTCCCCACCTTTTCCCCTCCTGCTCACAGGCATGTTCCCTCCCCATCTCCTGCAAGAATTCCACCCCCCCCCCACCTTTTCCCTTCCTGCTCACAGGCATGTTCCCTCCCCATGTCCTGCCTTCTCTGATGTACCTATTGTCCTGGAGGTGAGGGGAGCTCCAGCTCGGCTGTGCAGGGACTGGGTTAGCCCATGGGACAGCGGCAGTGGGCAGAAGGGTCCCCCGCCTCCCCCAGCCTACTCCCAGGCTGATGGGGAACAGCCAGGAGAACCTGTCTGCCCACTGCTACTGTCTTGGGCTGAACCCAGTCTCTGCACAGCCCAGCAGGAGCAGCTGTGGAGCTCCTTTCACCCTTAGGAAAGTAGGCACAGTGGTGGCAACAAATGGGGAAGAGGGAAGGGGAGGGGACATGCTTCTGAGCATGGGAGGGGAAGGGGATGGGAATTCTTACCTTCTCTGAGGACAAAAGTCCCTGGCTACTTCTACCAAGTGGTCAAAAAGGGGGGATGCAGGTGTGTCACTGTACCCCTTTGGATCTGCCCCTGTTGCTGCCCCTTAAAACAGACATGTGAAGTGCTTCATAAGGACTTGTTAATGTCAACTGCTTAATGTTAGAGATGAGCGCTCAGAAATTCTTCTGGTATATAGTTTCTGCTAAAATCAACTGGTTAGTTTTGTTTGTAATAATTATGTTCTTATCTACCTAACCCACCATTCTGTTTCTGTATGTAGCAGTTTGTTCTCAAATGTATCCTTGTAGATATATAGATACTCGGGAAAGTGCAAGTTGTGTCTTTTGGTAACCAGCAATTTAAGACTGAATGAGTTTAGTCTAAATATATTTTCTATCCGTTGGAATGCTCCTCATGCATTATGCTTAAAGTGAATTAGTTCTTCCTTAAAGTGGTCAAGCTAGTTGCAAATATGTGTTGAAAGACCAGAAACAATGAGAGAATATGTCCAAAAAGACAAAAACAAAACAAAAAAATAGAACCAGGCTGTGCATTGAAGTTTTACACAAGAGAGTTCAGAAGACACTAGTTTATAGAACCCACTTGATATGAACATCTACAGAGAAAGAGATATATGGGAAAATTAGAAAATTCATAGATTCATAGATGCTAGGGTCGGAAGGGACCTCAATAGATCATCGAGTCCGACCCCCTGCATAGGCAGGAAAGAGGGCTGGGTTCAGATGACCCCAGCTAGATGTTTATCTAACCTCCTCTTGAAGACCCCCAGGGTAGGGGAGAGCACCACCTCCCTTGGGAGCCCATTCCAGACCCTGGCCACTCTAACTGTGAAGAAGTTCTTCCTAATGTCTAGTCTAAATCTGCTCTCTGCTAGCTTATGGCCATGATTTCTTGTAACCCCCCGGGGCGCCTTGGTGAATAAACCCTCACCAATTCCCTTCTGTGCCCCCGGGATGAACTTATAGGCAGCCACAAGGGCGCCTCTCAACCTTCTCTTGCGGAGGCTGAAGAGGGCCAGGTGCCCCAGTCTCTCCTCATAGGGCTGGGCCGGCAAGCCCATAACCATACGAGTGGCCCTTCTCTGGACCCTCTCCAGGTTATCCACATCCCTCTTGAAGTGCGGCACCCAAACCAGCACGCAGTATTCCAACTGCGGTCTGACCAGTGCCCGATAGAGGGGAAGTATCACCTCCTTGGATCTGTTCATCATGCAGAACCATGACAGAAATTAAAAGCTAAAATTGAAAATCTAAATAAAATCTAATTAATGCTGTCTCTTGAATAGCATTCAAAATACCAAGAATGCGATGTAACCTTTAAATATAGACAGTTTTGTATACTGTTATATTGAGCCACAACAGT